TAATTAATCTGCTTCAAGACATCGTGAGCCACGCAAAGTATTCCGTATTACTTGCACTTGCAAATGTCTTCTTTCTGTTATAAAATATTGTAGGGGAAATTACTCTATAAAAAATTGTTGGTAGTGGTAGCCCTCTATCGGTAACTTCTGAGATACTAAATAGATTATCGAGATATCCATCTGTCAAAAAATTCAAACTTATCAATTGTCGGTAAAAGATCCTAATTCAAACAATAAAATATTTTCTCGAAATCTGCTACTCCATTTTAATTAGCAATTATTATATATTATTGATACCGATTAATTAATCAATGAATTAATTCTTATAATTAACCTTGTGTATTGGCTATTTGTTACAGACTGGAAAAGGTAAAAAATCAAATTGCGGTAAATTGAAAAGTGGGAGTGGTAATGGTTCACAGGAAATAGGACAAAGTGAGGATAATCCGGACGTCTCCTGCAAGAAACGTAAAACACGTCGGGGTAAACCAAAGCACAGAAAGCTGAAGCCTTACACAAAGCAACCGCCATACGAGAGACAACGTCGACGTTCATTGGGAAGACTGATGAAAAAATCAACCCAACCCCCAGCTCCTTACAACACAACGCAATTTCTCATGGAGGATCACAGTGATCTGCCAGATCTCGAGGAAAAATTAGCCAAGACATCGACGAATCCCGAACTGACAGTTACCTTCCAAAAGCCAAGTGGTCCCCCAAGAACGAGAGACTCGAGTTTCAGCATTGATTCGGACGAGGATTACTTCTACTCATCACCAGAGGACGAAGAGGAATTTCTCACCAAGGAATTTTCAAGCGCTTACGAGGACCTCCACGCCGAGAGATTAAGTGCCTTGTCCAAATCAGAGTTGATCGAGGAATATGTACAGCTCGAGGCGAAACTCGATCTGTTGACTAAACGAATGAGATCGAAGAATCTCCAGACTGATGAGATAGAGGGGAGAAATGATCTGGAGATGGCCAAGAAGGTGAAGATTTATCAGCAGAGAATAGATGATTTAATGCAGCAGAATGAGCAGCTCAGGCGTGAGAATGAAACACTCAGGGGGAAAGAGGGCAGCTCAGAGTCTAGTGTAGACAGTGAGAGCGATAGTGACAGCAGCAGCAGCTCAGAGCACACTGGGTGCAGCTGCTCTGAGGGCAGTGAATCACCTGGAATCAGGAGGCATAATGGCGATGTCAGGGTCAATGGCAGGGGTAATGAGGATAGGGAGAGGACAACTGAGAGCGTTAATGGATGTGCTACCACTCAGGAAATTGATGGACTTCCCACTTAGGAGACTCGACGACCTCTACGGAGTTTTTGCTCGTCTGCTAACAAGTGTGATCCAAAATATATTGACCAAAAAATCGGGGAGGGCCAGGTGGAGAACGATATTTGGAATTTTCAATTTTTTAACATTTTTTTTAACTACTGGATTGAGAGGGAAATTCAAGCTCGTTTTTGGCGGGAATGCATTTCTCGTTGAATTGTTTTTTAAACGTTTTCTGATTTTTTTTAGAGAAAACAGAGAAGTTGTCGTTTAAAAAATACAAAAATGCAAGTGGATGTAAATTTCCTGAGAGGCTCTCTTCAATTTCCCTTGAATCTTTCTCAGAGCTATCCAAAATCAAAAATTCCAAAATTCGTCATCACCTACTTGTCTCCGTCATCCTCACCGTCAACATACGCTTCATCGGACTCTCGCCTTTCGATTAATTTAAATTATTCTTTCCTCATATATATATATATACTTTTTTTCGCTTCTGTTTTCGGAATAAAAACTTGAAAATCGTAAATTAATTCCTCTCGCTCCGTAGTTAGTTGTAAATTCCACAAGTAATTATTGTTAACAGCACAAAAATATTAATTTCCGGGTGAAATCGATAATTGTTACGATGTAAAATAGTGCGATAACACAGACCATCAACTAACGAAGCGAGATTTAAAGATCATCACGTCATTGAAAAATAAAAATTTCCATTTATCATTGAATTGACAAATTCTAAATATAGATTATTAAATGCAGCGCATTTGAAGAGAGTATTATTGCCACATTATTGTCATGTGAAATTATGAATCATAATTAAATAACTGATGCTAATGATGTGTGGCATAAAGTTTATATAGAATGGAAGAAAAATTTTTCTCTATTGTTGTACAATTGTATAGAAAAATTTTTTAGTGATAAGGCAATTTAATATTCGAGAGATATGTTAGTTTATGGTCTGAAATTATTTCCTAGTTCTTTTTTTTGCCAATTTTATTTTCGATTTGTGAGGGTGGAAACTGTTCGTCGACGGAGAGAACAAAATTTATTAGCATTTCCTTAATTTTCTTCATTTTCTTCATTTTCATTGTATCGTTTGGGTGTTCAAAGAATATTTTTAATTATCCAGAGATAATGAGGAAAATGTATGAATGGTTAATC